GGGAAGAGCCCAGCCTGAGGGCACACTCTGTGGCCTGGCACGCAGCAGGGGCTACCCCACCCACCAGCAACACACAAGGCCATCTTTGAGCAGCCAGGGTGGTGCCTCTAAGCATCCCTGCTCTAAGGGCTCCCAGTAGGAGCCTTGAACTACAAGCTCCCTTGTCCTTCCTTCCCGGGAGCACCTCCAACCGGCACAGAGAGCTGCCTGAACACAGCTCTGGAGGGGCCTCTGCTCTCTAACACCTTTGCTTCCACACTGCCATGACGCAAAGGCCAAACTTCCCAGGAATAAAATGAACCTTCTGCCAAAACGGCTGGGCAGATTTTCACCAAATTTGGAGGTGATGTTTGGAAAGGTCTCACTGAAAACACAGACTGTGCTGTGTGTACAAAATTTGCTCTAGAAGGAACCAGGGGTGGGGGGCATACCTCAAAGACTGAGGCGTTCTTTCTGCAGAGTGGCTGAAACAGCCACACAGAGAGGCCCTGTGACTCCTCGTCAGAGCAGAGGAAACAAACAGTGGTTTAGATGTGAGCCCCAAATCAAATGTCACAGAAACAGACGGTGCCAACTGCAGGTGACAATTTGCTCTGAAGCTGCTTCTTCCATGGGCGGCTGGCAGCTCCCTAAGGAGAGCTCCTGAGGAGATGCAGCAGAAACATATTTATCTAACTGAGGTAAGTGCTTCTCCAGACCCACAGTCATTGCGCTGGTTGCGATGGTAACAATCAAAGTAATTACTTAACTAGTTCTTATTCTGTGATAAGCACATTACCTGCTTGACTTGTTTAGTGCTCACAAACACCTCTGAGAAGCACAGATTCCTAGTCCCATTTTATAAGTAAACAAACCAAGCACTGGAGCAGTAAAACAACGTGCCGAAGGTTATAGTCATATACAAATAAGTAGGAAAGCCAGGATTCGAACCCCGGTCTGTGTGGCTCTGAGTTCGGGTTGGCCCTGCACCTCACACATTGCACCGGATGATGGCAGAATTGAGATTTGAACCTGAGTGGTCTGACGCTATGGTCAGCACCCTTTCTACCCAATCAGATGGGTAATTGGACTAGAAGCCTGTGCCAGAGAAGGAGGTAGTCACTGGGGAAAGCAGCCTCTCCAGAGGTTCTAAAAACACAACAGGATCCGAGAAAAGCCCTTGGGTAGGGCAAGCAGGGCAGAGCTATTAAGAGCCGTGTGGGTTTGGGAGACACAGTCCTGGGTTTGAATTCCATTTTTGTCTCTCCTCAGTCCCATCTGTATACAGCACTTCTCCTGGGTGTATGCCCAAAAGAACAGAAAACACATAATCACAGAAACTTGAACGTGAATGTTTACAGCATTACTCATAACAGACAAAAAGTGGAAACAACCCAAATATCCATCAACTGATGAATGGACAAATATAACATGGCCTGTCCATACGACAGATTATTATTCAGCCATAAAAAGAAATGAAGTCCTGATACATGCATCAACATGGATGGGGAAACCTTGAACACCTTATGCTAAGTAAAAAAAAGCCAGTCATTAAAGATCCATTGGAATAAAAAGTCCAAAGCAGGCAAATCTGTAGAGACAGAAAGTGGATTAGTGGTTGCTAGGAGCTGGAGAGAAGAGAGAGTGGGGAGTAACTGCTAACAGGTATGGAGTTACTTTTGGGGGCAATGGAAATGTTCTGGGTTTAGATAATGGTGATGGTTGCACAACACCATGAATAAACTGAAAATCACTGATTTGTACACTTTGAAATGATGAATTGTATGGTACGTGAATAAAACCGCAATTTAAAGATTGCCAAGGAAAGAGTAGCACCTATAAAATGGGGACAACGCTACGCAGGTGGGGAGGCTGCGAGGAGGGTTGAACCACGTGACAATGCGTGTACAATGCTTGGTGCGGTGCCTGGTATGGAGTTAGCCCTCAGACACAGCAGCTATATTATAATAAATCACACCAACACTGGTACTGGCTTTCTGCCTAATATACAAGGAGGGGGAATAATAGTGGATGAGGGGGTGGCTGGTGTTACGATTCTCGAGCTGCAGCCCAGCTGGGCGACAGTGCCACCACAGAGCCCGGCTAGGGCTTGCCACCCTCCCTTCACTCTAGCGAAGGGCTGTGTCCATGGTAACCACATCAGCTCAGGCCAGGGGCTCCCAGCCGGGTGACAGCATCGACTCGGCAACCTGTCAGGATGGCAAAGGCAGATCTCCATGATGGAACTGCAGCTCTGGCAGAAGAATTGCTAAGGGACCCTTGTCTCCATAGAAACCATGCTGGGAAGGAAAGGAAGGAGGGAGAGGACAAACAGCAAATAAACACAAGCCCTGCCTCCTGCCCACGATCCGGAGACACCGCAGGCACGTCAGGAGGGCTGAACCAGCCTCGCGGCCATCAGCTTCCAGGGGGACGAGAACCAGTGTTTCTTAAACACCTACTCTACGCCAGACACCACAAAGAACACTTTCCAAGCTTAGCCTCATTTAAAATTTCATAAATAATACCCAAAGACATGCTTACTGTTTTTTATTGTTTTTTTTTTAAAAACGTAACTATGGCATTAATAGAATGAAAAGTGAAAGAGACCTCCAGAAGGAGAAGGTCTATCTGCGGACGTCTGCTATGCATTTCCACACATGCATACGTGCTTCAAAACCACTGTGGCTTGTTTGGCTTTTCAAAATAATTAGTGGAATCGCACAATATGTATAGTTCCATAATCTTCCTTTCCTGCTTAATAATGTAACTTGGAGAACTTTCAATATCAGTACATGTAAATCTACCTTCCTCTTTTTTTGTTTTTGGAAGAGAAAGAATCAGAGCCTTTTTTTTAATGCGGTAAACAATGTGTAATACAAAATTTACCATTTTAACCTTTTTTTTCTTTTATTGTGGTAAAATATACATAACACAAAATTTACCATTTTTAGCCGTTTTTAAGTATACAGTTCAGTGGCATTAAATACATTCACAATGTCGTGCAACCATCATCACAATCCATCTCCAGAACCCTTCATCATCCCACACTGAACCTCTGTACCCATTAAACAGTAATTCCTTACCCTTTCTCCACCCCCCAGCCCCTGGTGAATCTCATTCTACTTTCTGTCTCTGTAAATTTGACTACTCTCGTGTCTCACAGAAGTGGAATCATATAATACTTGCATTTGTTCTTTTGTGTCTGGCTTATTTCACTTAGCACAATGATTTCAAGGCTCATCCATGTTGCAGCATGTACCAGTACCACATTCCTTCTCCAGGATGAATAATAGTCCACTGTAGGTATATACCACACCTGTTTATCCATCTTCTGCTGATGGACACTTGGGTTTTGTCCATTGTGAATAATGCTGCTATGAACACGGGTGTACAAATATCTCCTCGAGTCCCTGCTTTCATTCTTTTGGGTATATACCCAGAAGTGGAACTGCTGGATCATACAGTAAATCTGTTTAATGTTTTGAGGAAATGCTGTACTACCTATTCTTTTTAACTTCTTCATAGTATTCTATATTACTCAATTTTATGAATGATCCTAAACAACCTCATAAGCTGGGTACTGTTACCACTCTGATGTCACAAGTGAAAGAAAGTGGGACTCAGCACGGGAAGTGGCTCCAGGCTTTCAGCCACATCTCTGCGAAGGACAGGCTGGGTGAGCTCAGGCAAGCCCTTCCTCCCCGCGCCTCAGCCTGCTCACCCATACAAGAAAGGCTGACCTCTAAGGTGCTTTCTGAAATTGTCTCCTCCTTTCACTATCAAGGGTGGCAGCAACAAGATGGTATGAATATGGTGGCCTGTATTAGGGGCCAGGCTATGGGGGTCAGGGGGCTGCATGAAGGGAGGGGGCCTCCCACTGGCCCTGAAACAGGGCAGGGCTCCGCAGCAGCCTTTAGCAGCAAATGCCTCCTCTCTCTACACACTGAGAATGGCTGGCACATCACACCAACACGCCCTGCGGCAAGGGCAGCTGAAGGACTGTTCTGGCCTCAGGGCTGTGGCGTCCAGTTCTGGAACACTGGCACACCCTCCTTCTGCGGAAGCAGGAAGCAGCGAGGAGTGTGCCCCAGAAGGATGTATGATCCCAGGATACCTCATAAGCAGCTAGATGGCAAAGGCCCGCCATACCTCGGAGCCAAAAGCCACCCCAGGCTGCCTGGAACACAGACCCCTGCAATCAAGAGGATTCTAGCCTTTAAGGGTCACCTAGGCTTATTGTTTCCAGTCAGTATTCTGCAGAGCCCACTGGACCCTGCATGACCTGGAGGACATCCCTCCCTCTCTCTCCCTGTTTGCTTATCCATGAAGTGGGCATGATCACAACCTCGTTGGGCCTTCATAAAAATTTGAAATAAATTTTCTACCATGGTCCCTATCACACCATACACCTAACACAGCAGAAGGAGGAGAAGGTATGCAAGGAAGAGGAACTGGCAAAGACAGAGGATGGTGCCTGAGGGTCACACTCAGGAAGCATCTAGTACCCCAGAGACACTGGCCTGAGATCCAGCCCCAGCACAGACTTCACACTGAATGGCAGCACCTGGCAGTCCCTAAAGCATCTCCACACAAGTTATCCCAGTTAGTACTTACAACAACTTGGGGCAGTTAGTCCTCACAACAATTTGGGGCACTACTGCCCCATTTTACAGATGAGGACATTGAGGTACAGAGCGCCGGGCCCTATGCTGGGCACTGTTGCATGTTTTCTCAGTTAATCCTCCCAGCAGCTGTGGTTCTTTAATGGATGATTATTTCTCTCATTAGCCTGGGAGCTCTTTGTGGACAGGAGCTGGGTGTACTTCATTCACCTCTGTATCCTTAGTGTCCAGCATGCAATGTATGCAGTAGGAGCTCAGGAAATGCGTGCTGCAGGAATGAATGAATAAACAACCCTGTGTGGGGGGCAGAACCTGCCATTTCCTACAAACAGAGACCGGTTCAGAGAGACACTGGAGAGGTGGGGCGTGCACGTGCCTGCCTGCCAGGGTGGTTACCTCTCGCGGCCGCTCCAGCTCTGTCTGCAGCACCTGCTTAGCCAGCTCGGTCTCGATGAGCCGCTGCCGAAGCTCCTCGTTCTCCTCCTCCAGCCGTGCCCGCTTCTTCTCTACCACCTCGAGCTCCTTATGCAGCCGCATGGAGATGTCCTTTGAGACCTGGGCGAGGGTGGGAGGTGGGATGGGTGTGAGCAGACAAAGGAAGCTAGATCCGATGGCAGCCCCCGTCGCAAGGCCCACTGACCACCTCACCTCAGACACAGAGGCAGGCACCCCCACTTAGCAGATGAGGAAACTGAGGCACAAAGAGGTCAAGAAACTCACCAAGGGTCACGCAGCCAGGATGTAGAACCAAAACCCAAACCCAGGAACCCTGTGCTCCCAATGTCTACATCACAATACAGCCCCTGAAAGCCGGAAGGCCCCACCTGTTCTCAAAAATTCGTTTTCACTTACCTGGGGCTTTAATGCTTCCAAAACCTTTCTCAGCCACCCCGTTACCCAGTCCTCATGAGAGCCTGTGGTAGGAACAAAGCTCATCTCAAAGAATGGGGAATAAGCTGGAGTGGAAACCCGATGAATCCCATCTCTGCCAGTGACCAGCATGTGATCCCGGGCAAGTCACTTCCCGGCTCTGTGCCTCAGTCTCCTCAACTATAAAATGGGTGCAGTAACAATAGGCCTGACCTCACAGGCCCGACAGGAGGATTGAATCAGCTATTGCACAAAAAGGCTTGGCCCAGCGCCTGCCACAGTGAGCGCTGGGTGAGTGGTGGCTGCTGCTCCGAGAAGCTGAAGCCCAGAGAAAGACATGACTTGCTGGAGGTCACAAAGTGACCCAGAGACCTATTTCTAATTGTCTGGGATGTAGACCATGCCTGAAATGACAAAGGCTGGGCAGGTGTCCAACTCATCCATACAGAAAGAAGTAACAGAGCTGCAATCTCCAGTCCTTCCAGGACTGCGCAGAAACAGCACCCCATCTCCTGAGGACATCCTCTGTCCTGTCTCCTGTTGGCTGGGTGTGGAAGGCCAGGAAAGGGGGCCTGTGGGGATAAGGAAGGCCTGCAACTACATTCCTGCATGGGCTGGGCACTAGCATATGTTGAATACCTACTGATTGCGCCAGATTCATTCATCTGTACCCCAATCCTGTCCCCATTTTACTGACAAGGAAACTGAAGCTCAGATCGGAAGCAACTTGCTCAAAGCCTAGCTGGGCTGGGAGCCCTGGGGGTTTGGCTGAGGGGCCAGTGTAGTTTAGGGTGCCAGGGCTTTGCCAGCAGGAGCCGTGTGTGGGGCACACAGCCCAGCACCCCACACCCACCAGTCTCGGAAATGACCATGGCACCTTGTCCCTGCCGGAAGGGAAGAGGGCCCTCCCTGGCTCTGCCCTTTGCCTGGGCCCAAGCCCAGCTCGGCACGGACCCCTTGGCAGTGTGCAAGGCAGGCCAGGAAAAACAAGGGCCAGAAAGGAAACCAGGCACTGCCTGCCCGCCTCCATTGCTCACTGCCTTTCTCTGTCCCTGAAGATCTCCCAGGACAGCCAGAAGCTACCCATGAGGCTCCTCCCACAGCCTCTCAAGTCCACCAAATTTTCCTCATCCATTAAGTACAGCGAGCAATCCCTTAATATCAGAATGAGGAATTTGCAGATGAGAAAACAAGATGCGAGCCTGGTTCCAGCACCGACTGGTTGTGACCCAGGAGAAGTTAACTATTCAAAGTCTGGTTGGTCAGTAGTAAAAGGGGATTGCTATAGTCTACTCACAAGGGCTGCTATGAGGAATAAACAACGGAATGCTTGGGCTGGTGTCTGGAAGACAGTAAGTGCTCAAAAATTATGATTTTTAATGCATTATCAAGACTGCTGGGCTGGCCCGTGACTCACTCCGGAGAGTGTGGTGCTGATAAGACCAAGGCCACGGGTTCGGATCCTATATAGGGATGGCTGGTTTGCTCACTGGCTGAGCGTGCTGTTGACAACACCAAGCCAAGGGTTGAGATCCCCTTACCGGTCATCTTTAAAAAAAAAAAAAAAAAAAGACTGCTGCTCTGCCTCTGTGCACTGATTTTATCCACCTTGGCCCAACCACAGGGTTTTTGTTGGATAGGTTCAGCCCCTAGGCTTCTGGTTAAGACCACCAGTTTCGGTTCCTTAGGTCGCCCAGGAAGACCCTATCCTGATCAACATTCCACACATTCATTCACTCATTCGCTCATCCTGCTTAGGCACTGGGGGCAGGAGTGGTGGGGTCTCAGAGATCAAGGCCCCAGACCATGCCTGGACTCATTCACATCTACGTGTCCTAGCAGCAGCACAGGGTCTGGCACACAAAGTGCCTAATAAATGCTTTTTGGATGAACAGACAAATCCAAGGTTCCAACAAGTGAAAAGAGAGGGAGATGAAGGAGTGTATAACTGAATATATAGGAGGAACTGCACTGGCCCTAGCAGGGCAAAGTGGGGAGGCTCCCCTCGAATATCCACCCACCCCACTGTCCAGGGAAGGCTGTGTCCCTGACTGGGGTTATGAAGCAGGCTGCTGGGGCCAGGGCTCCTCTCCCAAACACACTTGCATCTGGACAAGCTCCTCTCCACCTGGGGGGATGCCCCATCTCCACTATGGCCTTCAACTTGGGGAGTCATGACCATGGGTTCTTGGCTTGGATCCTCTTGCATTCATGAAAGACTCAATAGATTTCATCTTTTTCTGCCCCCTCTGAGTCCCCAGTCCCCAGTTCCCCGCCCCATTCTCCATGGAATCCCTTCCCCACTTGAAACCCACTCCCCACCCCTGTCCAGGGCTGCTATGTCAAGAAAGCCTAACCCTGGGGTTGGCCAGTTATTCAGTTGGTTAGAGCACAGTTTTGGTAACCCCAAGGCCAAGGGTTTGGATCCCATTACCAGGAGTCTGACACATCTTGCTGGACTAAAATCAAGGTATTAGCCGGCTGTGTTCTCTTCTGAAGAAAGTCCAACCCCAGGCAGCCTGCAGAATTCCAGTATGGACAAAAGACCGAGCCCTCAATCTCAGATCCCCACAGTACGCTGTGCCCCCGATGGAGGCCAACAGAAGCAAAGAGCATGCCACACTGGGAGGCAGGCACCTTGTGATCAGGGCTTGTCTCTTCTACTCCATGAGCCTCAGTGGTCCTGGGCCCCTTGGCCCTCACACATGATTTATAGACTCAACTAGCACTTCCCCCAAGGGCTCACCACATGCTTTTCATCCCATTGGAAGCACTTTGATTTATCATCCTTATTCTGAGAAGGGAAAGGTCACTTCCCAAGGTCACACAGCTAGGAAGCTTCATAACCAAGATTTGAAATCAGGTGGGTCAAGTCCAAAGTCTTGCTCTCAACCTGACCCTGCTATACAGGCCCAAAGCTTGAAGACACATTATATCAATATCAACAATAAAAGTACTAATAACAAGCCCCGACAGTGGGCTTACCATGTGGGGCGCTTGAAGGGCCCCACATGCCTGTCTCATTTGGTTCTCCCAGCTTCCCCCATGGTAGGGGGGTTGAGATGCTAAGGCAGGCCAGGCAGCTGCAGCTTCCGGAAATCAAGGCAAATCCCCAAAGCACAAACAAATGCGCTCAGCCATGAGGTCACTGTTTACAGCGCCAGGGCTTGGCTTCTGCCAAACGCAGCCAGCAGCCTCCAGCCCCCAGCTCCTGCGCCTCAGGCTTAAGGGTGTCCCTGTCACTCTGATCCTCAGGGAGGGGGATGGGAACTCTCACTAAGAAGTACCCCCTGGCCAGGCAGCACTCTGGGCTCTGTGTGACTGAATCTTCCCAAGAACCCCAGGAGGGTGGGAATGTTACCCCCACTCTACAGATGAGGAAACTGAGGCTCAAAGAAGGGAGTCAACCTGCACTGGTCACCCTGAAATTAAACCCATAGCCAGAACATTTTCTCCAGTAATACCTGTATCTCAAGAAGGGAGCATGTTACTGATGTATCCTGGGGTCTCCTACAGGAGTCACCAGATGAGAATTTAAACCCAATTCACTGGGCCTGACACCTCCTTTCAGGTCTCAGTTCCTGAGGGGCCCTGGGAGTGTGCACTGTGAGCAAGCCCTCCAGCTGATTCCTGTCCACCCTGGGAGGCTGAGATTCTGGCCTACGCTTCCCCACCTTTGCTGCAGCCACTTGTCCTACCAGTAGCTCCTAAGTTCCTCTCCTGAATAATAAAACCACAGCCAAGATGTGCTCACGTGTGGGGCGAGCACCCAGAGCCAGACTTTGTACTCGGCATTCTCTTCACTTGAATTATTTCATTTTATCCTCACAAAAATCTCTACAGGTAGAGATTTTTATCCCCATTTTCCACATTGGGAAACAGGCTCAGAGATGTGAAGGAACTCACCCAAGGCCACACAGCAAGCAAGTGGCACAGAGGTCTCTGCCCTTGCCCTCCTCATGCTGAGCAATGTCCCCGCTGAGGTTCTGTAGGTCCTGTCAGCTGGGAGGACCAGCAGAGAGTAAGATGGCCCGAGGTGGGGGAGTGGGCTGCAAGGTTTGAGTTTTCATTCATAACCCCTTAACCCACCGCCCAATAAAACTACTGGAGCTCAAAGCCCTGAAGATTCTGCTGGTCTAAGCCCCACAATTAACAGAAGAACAAAATGGTCCCAAGAGTCAGAGCGTGGGCCAAGGAGCTGGCAGAGAAAGTGAGGAGAGTCCCGGGGTATCCTCCTAGGCACCTCCCGGCCAGGGACTACCTAGCCGTGCAGGCGACGCAGGGAAGTCAGCATTCTGAGGACCTCCAAAAATGCTGCAGAACATCCCCAGTCGTCGGGAGGAAGCAAGGCGGCCAGAGGTGCCCAGCTCAGGAGCGAGGCCAGTGGATGAGCTCATCCCTCCAGCTGCAGGGGTGGAGGGGGGGCGGAGGGGAGGGGGCAGGGTTGATGCTGATTGGCTAGTTCAAATCCCAACAGAAGGGGCCCCTCCCCTCCGCCCAGACTCCCAAGAGCCTCCCCCACCCGCCCGGGCTCCACTCCAGCTGCTGTCGCCCCTCCCACGAGGGGGCGGCGCTGGCAACCCAGAGCCCGGGCCGTCCTCCACTCCCTCATTTCTCTCAAGTCTGACTTTTGTGTCCCTCCCAGACTCATGGGAGCTTCTCCGGCTCCTCCCTCCCCTCCCCCCCCACCTCTCCGCTGCCACCACTCTCCCTGCCCCTTCCCAACCCAGTGATTGGAATTTGAATAATCGGAGCCCTCGCAGGTGGAGGTGCACTCTGGACTTGACACATACCCCTTTCTGAGATCAGTTTCCTCTTGAGTACAACAGACCTACAACCACACTGCGCACAGTCAAGACAACCGGAGACATAAAAACCTGCAAAAGCCTGTGTGAAGCTGGCCCTCACTGTTTACTTCCCTGGTCCTGCGGACCTCTGTAATCACAGCTCTCACTGGTCTCTTAATTAACATTTGTTTTCTTTTATGTTCCACTGGAAAGACAGTAAGGTGGGGAGGTGTTCTCTCTAGGCACGTGTGCTGGCTGACCCCCCATCCCGGGCCCTTCCCAGAGCCTTCTGCCTCAAACAGTCCTCCCTCCCTTCCTGGCTCATGCCCACTGCTCCCTGGGGCCTCAGCTCCAAAGGCACCCCTGCAGGAATATTCCCCAGGGCCCCATCCCCAGCTCTTATAGCCCTCTGATCACAGTAGGCAGAGTTCTGAGAGCAGAGGGCCAGGCCCAGGTCCCCAATAAGTTTGCAGCTCCCAACCAGAGCTTCCACAGAAGGGCAGGGTGGACTTCTCTTCCAGAGGTCCCACCTGCCAGCCTCCCATCCATCCCTTCCTGCTTTCTGAGGCAGATAGCAGTGAGGAAACGGAGGCCCAAAGAGGTGGTATAACTTACCCAAGGACACACAGGAGTGAGCCACAGGGCTGATCTGGGCCCCACTCAGGCTCATGGTACCACCCCCCAACAAGGGCACCTGTGAGGGTTAGGGGAGGCCCTGAGCTGACCTTGACATCCTGCTCCAGACCTCGGATGAGCTCGCCGTCCACCTGGCCTGTCTGGGCTGCACGGAGGCTGCGGCGCTCGGCTTTGCGCAGCCGGTACTGCAGGATGCGGCAGGTCTTGCTGGCCTGGTCCAGCTGCTGCCGCAGCTCCTGCAGCTGATACACATCTTCCTCCATGTAGACATCCCGCATCTCCAGCATCTCGGCCCGCAGCTCTTCAATCTCATCCTGTGGAGGGAAGGAGCAGTTAGGTCACTGTGCCCCATGGCAGCAACCAGGGCCTAAAGTGCTGGCCACACCCAATGCTGAACTAGGCACCTCGGGGGGCTGAATAATAGACCTCCAAAAATGTCCAAGTCTGAATTCCCAGAATCTGCGAATATGCTACCTTACATGGCAAAAAGGACTTTGCAGGTGTGATTAAGTTAAGGATCTTGAGACAGGGAGATTAACCTGGACTTTCTGGGCCAGTGTAATTACAAGGGTCCTGATAAGAGGGAGGCAGGTGGGAGAAGATGACATGATGACGGAAGCAGAGGCTGGAGTGATGTGCTTTGGACATGGAGAGGAGGGGCCATGAGCTAGGAATGCAGGCAGCCTCTAGAAGCTGAAAAAGGCACAGGAAAGTGTCCTTCCCTAGTGCCTTCGCAAAGAATGCAGCCCTGCCAGGACCTTGATATTCAGACTTCTGAGCTCCAGAATTGGAAGATAATAATCTGGGGTTGTTTTAAGCCACTACATTTGTGGTGATTTGTCACAGCAGCAATAGGAAACTAACACACTGGGAAAGCAGGAGACACACGTTCATGGGCGCCAACTATGTACTAGTCCCTGTGCTAAACACAGGGGCAGGGAGGGACAGTGGTGACTAGCCCCTTCAATATCTTCTAGATGGAGCCCAAAGCCTCATTTGGGAGATACACTGTAAACCAACAAGTAAAAAATTTCAGCCACTGTTAAGTGCTATGAAGGCAAAAACAAAATAAAACAAAAAAAGTGGGAAACACGATAGGTGATAGAGGAAGATGCTACATTAGGGGACATGGTCAGGGAGGACATCTCTAAAGAAGGGACATTTGAGCTGAGAAAAGAAAGAATAGCCATGCAAAGAGAGGGACAGGGAGAGATTATTCCAGGTGGAGGCAACAGTATGTGCAAAGGCTCAGAGGCAGGAATGAGCTCAGTGTGTTAAGAGACAGAAGGGAAGCCAGGACCTCTACGGGTTACTGTGAAGCTGAGCAAACAGACAGGGATCAGCCGTACAGGGCCCTGAAGGGCCTAGTGAAGAGTCTGAGTTTGGGTTTTAGGCAGAGGGGGTTAGGGAGTGACTACACTTCCTCGAGGCCGCTCCTGTCACCTGGTCACCAGCTCCCAGCTGTCCCTCTCTTTTGTAATCATTAGCACATCTGCAATTCTTTAAGTTTGTCTCCCAGTGAGACTGTGAACACCTGGAAGGCCACCCCACCTGCCTGCATATCCCCCACACCTGGCACACGGCCCAGGATCCCTCATTCACTCTGAATGAATGAAGGCATGTCTAGTTATGTAAAAACAACAAAAAAGACACACTAATGTGAAACAATTCATAGACACTAAATATAAGGAGGTGGGTGGAGAGGTCCAGCAGAAGAAATGCAGAATTATTATGTCTCATAACAAACATGAAAACTGAGTCACAAACGAGAATCATAATACTGACTCTTAGTGTGACTGAGTGCTTTAAATAAGATTGTACATCAAAAAGAGAAACTGAGTCACTGGGGATGAATGACTCACCAAAGGCATCCCTGAGGAGCCAGAGAAAACACCCAAGGGTGACACTGATGGAAGCAGGGAGGTGGGTCCAGGGAACAAAATGACCACTCTGCAGGCCCTGGAGAGGGGACCAAAATGGGAGAGCTCAGGTCCCCAGCCCTCTGAGCCTCCCTTTCCCCAAAGAAAATGAGAATGAAGGGACTGGGAAGTGGGTCTCATATTCTTCACTTCTTATGCTTCCACCACGAGGGAATGTCCATGCTGCTCCCCCTCAGAGGGGCGCTTCAGGCTTCTCTCTCAATACCCTTCCAGGGACATGGGCTGGGAAGTGGGACTCAGCTGACTCTCAAGAACGTGGGGGCCTCTCTTCATACCTGCTCACGCCTGCCTGTTCCAAATGGCTAGCTTGGTCATAGGACCACACCCAGAGCACTGTGTGGCTCCCTGTGGGGAAGTGGAAATGGCTTGGGGTTGTTCTGTGCCCCCTGAGACTGGGTGGGTTTAGTTCAGGGGCAGGGTTAGGAAGTGGTACCCTCCAGGCCAGTCTGAGCAGTGTGAAAGCTGACCAAGGTTTTCACACCCTTCTCTTTGACCCCTGGGATGACTACTCAGATGGTTCTGAACTCAGGAGAGGAAGACAGAAGTGACAAATATCTGTTTCTCCCAACCCAACAGGTCTGTCCCATTCCCACTGTCAGCTAAAGGGTTTAGTCCCCATATGACACCACAGACTCTCTCCTGAGGGTGTGTTAAGCAGCACCCCTCAAAGTGGATGGTCCAGCCTGTCAGCTCCCCAGGACTCCATTCCCACCACCATCCTAACATACACACAGACTCACCACCCCACCACCATGCCAAGTGGACGGAAACAGTGGAAAGGGGGAAGTGGGACAGTCAGTGATCACACTAGTTAGAGAAATGAGGAAGTGAGGGGTCCACGCGCCACTTCCGCTGGCAGATTAAGGAAGCACAAAGGAAATAGCACAAAGGAAGTGCAAGCCAGTCGGCTACATCCAGGCTAAGCCAGTGCCAGGGAGCTTGTGTTCAAATCCTAGCCACGTCACTTACCAGCACCTCACTTATTCTCTCTGCAGTTACACTGACAGGACTGGGTGATGGGGAGGATGTGAGGGTCTGAGGGGACCCCAAGCTCAGGATGAGCCTAGGAGAAGTGCAGGGGACACACAAACTCATAATGATGTTGGGCTACATTAACAGATTTATGACATTTAGATCATGAGAGGTAACATCTCCCGCATAGGACCCCACCCAGAGCACTGGACTCATTTTTGGGAACCACTTATTTTTTAACTTTTAAATAACTAATTTTTCTGTTTATAAAAGTAAAACACAATCATAGGGACAATTTTGAAAATACAGAAAACATAAATCACTCATAATTCTTCCACCTGGTCCTGAATCCTCAAAAGTGTGGTCCCTGCACCAGCAGCATTAGCATTACCAGGGAATTTGCCAGAAATTCTGTCCCAACCCAGACCTACTAAATCAGAAACTCTTGGGATGGGGGTCCCCAAGAGATTCTGATGCAGGGCATTTCCTTCCTGTCTTTTTTCCCTAAAAGAGCAAGAGTCATGTCTCTCAGCATAAGGCCCCAGCCAAGGGCCTGACAAAGAGCAGGGTCTCAATAAGCATCTATTAAATAAGTAAATGAATGAATGATCTTTCTCACATGAGCAGCTGTCTCCCCAGGGCCCGTCCTTCACCACAGTCAGTTTTTGACAGTGCAGGATGTTGTATTCATGCCAGCTCCATCTCTCTGTGGTGGCCTTGGGACACCAGGCCTCTCGGGGGCTTGTCCCAGATGCAGGCAGAATGCCGGCCAGCCCCTCCTGGCACAACCCGCCCAAGAGGGTGAGTTGACAAAGGCAGGCTTGTGGCCCACACGGGCTGGGTCTGCTGGGACGTGCGCAGCAGAAGCTGGTGAATGCAGGACACGGGCAGGGACCGGAGCTTTCAGGGCCTGAGGTGGGGGAGAGAAAGGGTCTGCTGGTGCATGCAGAGGGGACCCAGGAGAGCAGGACCCTGTTTTACTCCAGAGGTTCACAGTCTTCACTGAGCTTAAGAATCTTCTGGGCTCCTCTGTCATGCAGTCCGGACTCCCACCCCAGGAAAGCTCTCCAGTGACTGATCCAACCAGGGAAGCTGGAGGGGTGGGGACCTGCTATGGGGTGGGGTGGGGAGCACAGGCTTCCCAGACGGCTCAGTGGCCCTAGAGAGCCTCTCCCACCTCCCAGACCCCCCAAAAATGTGGAAGTAGGGAGGGAGGGGCCAAACGCCCCAGACTCAGTAGGCTCCATGGCTACAGAATGTTGTCAGAGTCCCCCCCAGCATGGGTGGAGAGACCCCACCACACCTCATCCTCCACTGCAGACAGAAAAGGTCACACTACCTGGCAGTGCTCACCTCAGAGCCTGCGGGGCCCCAACTTCTCAACCCCACAGTCAGAAAGGCTGCCCTAAAGAAGCTGCAAAAGATGCCCAGACCAGGCCCTGCCTGCCAGCCCCTCCACGGTCTGGCCAAGTCTGCTCTCTCTCAAGTTGACCTCTCTTCCCCTTGAAGGCTACCCTTGAAGCTTACTCTGATTATTTAACCTGAAATGAAAATGAGGAGTGGGAGGGAGGACGGGGGATAGGAACAGGGCACCCACACTGCTACAGGGGCCATGAAAGCTTCTCTTTCTAGAAAATGTGTGTTTTGCTCTGATCACACAGGTCATACCTGTTTATTAGAGAAAAGCTAAAAAAAAAAGCAGATGGCTTTTCATCTCCTCCACTAGTTCCCACTGGCTTCCGCATCAGGTCCACGCCCCTCATCCTGGACCCCCAGCCAGCCCCTGGTCTCCTCCCTGCCCTCTAGGTCCAGCTATGCCATGACTTAAAACACGGACACCACAATTGGGAGGCTCACTAACCACTAGCCCCAGCCCAGACACAGCATGTGCATTACCAACCCTGGGAGGTAGGTGTTGACAACGCTCCTACTCTGCAGATAAGGAAACTGAGGCTCAGAAGTTTCCCAGAGCTGCTCAAGCGAGGAACGGAGCTGAATTCCAAATAAGCCGTGTGACCCTGGGCCAGCGCATCATGACTGTGTGTTCTTCTTTCAGGTCTGCTTGGGCTATTCCCTCTGCTAGAATGGCCTTTGCCAGGCTAACTCCTATCTCATCCTTCCAAAAAATTCCCTCCTCCCCAAGTCTGATTCAAATCCCAAACTCTGAAGTCCTGTTTTCATGTCTATCTTCCCCAAGAGCTGGGAGGAAGGGCAGGGGCTGAGTCTCACTCGTGTCTGGTCCCCGGTGTTGCCCAGGGCAGGACATGGTCAGAGAAGGTTCCCATCACTGTCTACAAGCAGATGAATGAAGGAAAGACTGAGTGTGGCTTCTGCCCTGCCCAGTTTCTTTCCACAGCCTGGGGTGGTAAGCCCTGCTGACCCCAGCTCCAAGCCAGCTGCAG